GATAATCGCATCCAACCATTTTAAAATATGTCTGAATTAAAGCGTGTCCATATAATTAAATAGAGCAGACGGAGAAGCAAACCTTTGGCTTGTGTCTCAAAAGTATAATAGTCTATATATCATTTAAGTTTAGGACTTGCACAATAACAACAACCCATTTTAAAGTATGTCTGAATATATATAATTCTTAGATTGAAATTCTCTCGAGAAATGATATTGTTAATTTAAGAAACATTGGGTTTGTAGGGTGTTTAATGGACCTCGAAGATTAGTTGAGGTGCTCATAAACTGATCTGGATATTTTGGTTAAAAAAACAAAAAAGTTGTAGGTAATATTGCTTGATAGGATTTGTTTGTACTCAAGCCAAATCTTTCCTTAAATTAAGGGTTTCAGTATTGGTTCTCCACCCATTTCATAGATATTGTGGCTTGAAATTATGTTGAAAAATCTATGCCTAAATTCATGGAATTCAACTAGATATTGCTCAACATGTTGAATTAGAAAAAAGGATTATTTATGATAAAAATAAATTTACAACTTCATATGAATCCAATGTAGATTTGACATTTTTTTATATGGAATTAAAAATAAGTAATCATGTGTAAAATTAAGTGCTTGTAATAAGATTTCATAAAATTTAGATCACTTGTGAAAAATATGGGTCTGTTTGCTTTATTATTTTGGATAGGATTTTTGAAAAAGTAAGAGTTTGGTGATTATTACGAAGTAGGATTTAAAAATTAACAAAAACACCCTCTAGGTTTGTTAATTTAGCTAAACACCCCTGCAATAAAATATTAAAAATTAACAAAAACACCCCTATCCACCCATTAAATGCTGGCAAACGACCACCACCACCTAAGGGTGGCCAAAGTCATCGTATCGGTGCAGGACTAGTTGGATCTAGTCAATTGTGCATTGATATGGCCTTTTTCGGCTAGACCTACGGTGGATCTAGCCACGTTTGGTCGTCAACGACAACGAAAGATATGGTTGTCGTTGACGACCAGCTACGACCAAAGATCTGGCTGTCAACGGCCAAATCTTTGACTGTAGGCGCACTACCGGCCAAATCCAGTCGGTAGTGCGCCATTATACCAGATTTCGACTACCTTCCGACGATGGTAGCCGGAATCTAACAAATGTGGGTGGATAGGGGTGTTTTTGTTAATTTTTAAACTTTTTTTGGGTGTTTAGTTAAATAACAAACCTAGGGTGTTTAAAAATAATTGAATAAAATATAATAGGATTTTTAGAATAAGGAAACAAATGTGTATTTTGGGTAGGATAAAGATAAGATAGTGCAAAATAGTTAAACAAACATACCATTATTTTTTTAAGCTAAATTAAACCTCTTACACCCTTGACCTTAGGTTCAATGCAATATAAGGCAATTGTTTAAATCAAGATGTATATTATTATTTTTATATTTAAAACAACAATTAATATCACTAAAATTAGGAAATAATAATGGTAGGCAAGATATTCATTAATATCTAAAATGATTTTTACTTAAATCATCCAAAACACCTATCCCAAATAGTAAATAACAGTACTAAACAATTTCGGTTGTGGTCAATCATTATGTTTTCGCCTTGATTTTAGTATTACTTGTTACATTAATATTTTACAAATATTTTACTTCTATCAACTTGAAAACATTATCAAATCATAAATAAATACTTGTTAATAAGCTAGTTTAAAACCAAAAAGAATTACTAAATCAATTTAATAAGGTTCAATCGTGATTCAGTATTATTATTGGAGTTTAGGATACTTAATACATAAATATTCTCATATTATTATTCATTTATCGGTTTGATAACATTATCAGATCAGTAAGTAACGAAAATACACAAATAAGTCAATAATCTTATAATATTAACAAACCAATAGCTATCCTTATAACAACTTTATCGAGTTCATTTTTGGATAGGATTTTGGGAATAATATTGGATAGTTAGATAGGGGAGTATTACGAGATAAACTTTAAAAATTTATGAAAAAGTCCATAGGTTTGCTAATTTAATTAAAGACCCTAATAAAAACGACAATAGCAGCCCCACCACCTGCAGTGCCAAATTCCGGCCACCACTGCCGGAATCTGACTGGCAAATTTCGTTACGACACAGACCGGTCGGATCTGTGCCGTAACGCATCACTATGGCCTTTTCCGGCCAGATCCGTGGCAGATCTGATCTGACCGAAAAAGACTAGATTTACAGCCAAATGTTGCCGTCGACAACCGAAAAACGTCAAAAGAAGTCCATCTTTGGCCGTTGTTGACGGCCAGATCAGTGAACTTCCAGCCATTTATGGTCGACAGGTAGGCCGTTGTACAGATTCCGACTACCACCGACGGTGGTTGCCGAAATCTGGCAAGTATGGGTTGATGGGGGGTGTTGTTGTTAATTTTTAAACTTTTTTTCAGGGGTATTTAATGAAATTAATAAGCTTAAGGGGTCTAAAAGTAATTAAAAAAATATAGTAATATTTCTGGAATAATATGCCAAACAATATTTGGGGAATAGGATTGGGAATATGAATAAAAAAAATGAACCAAACGAACCTGATCAATATTACTATTTAATTTATATATTATAACCTTACTTTAAAATTCGTCAACAATTAGATAATATTAACCATCATTAGGTGATCGAATGGTAAAAAAGCAAAAGGGCCCAACATGAGTTCTTGAGTTTGAGTCACTCTAAACCTTAATAGGGGTGACCACTGAGGGGATTTACATGATTATTTACTTCAGGATTTTAAGAGATTAGTTGAGGTATGCACAAACTTATTCGAACACCCCCGATCATCAAAAAAAAATAAAAACACAATTGAATAATATTATGGGATGTGTACAATTAGGGTTAATACTTGTGTATGATGCTTATCATGCCTCCCGGACTAAAAATAAAAATAAACAATTGGATAATATTATTGAATGTGTACAATTGGGTTAATACTTGTGCATGATGCTTATCATGCCACCGTTTATTTATGGACCTTTTCTAGGCCGTCCAAGGCTTTACAAAATTCCAATCAAAATTGACAAAAAAGAAAAAGAAAAAGAAAAAAAAATCTGTAAGACTTTTTCTAGTACTTCCAGGTGTCATCACCCCACCAATCACGCGAAAGTAGCCGTTAAGAACGATCTAACGGTCGTTATCAGCCGGCTTTCTCTTTTGGCGTGGTCCAGTCCCCAACGTCTCTAAGTTTCAGATCCGTTATCAACGGTCAAGTATTTTAAATTCATTAAAGTAAAACAAAGTCAATAAAAATAAATAAATATAGCCTCTCTTTAACCTTTTCTTCTTGAATAAATTAATTTAAATTCATTAAAGTACAATAAGGCAAATACTAAAGATAAGATAAAAATAAATATAGCCTTTTTCTTTTATTTTTTCTCTTTGAATAAATTCCATTTATTTAAGTTAAAAATTAAATCCTAAATAATAATAAAAAAATTATAACATTAAATGGAAGACTCAGATCCTGAAATGCGAAAAATGTTGATATCGATATAATATTAAATAAAAATTCGGCTAATTTAAAATAACTCATCTATAACATAAGGTAATATTTAATTTCATATATAATAATATTAAGAATATTACTTAAATATATATAAATTTTTGTATGCAAATTACTTATAATATGTTAGTAATAAAATAAACTTAAAATTCTACAAAGATATTACAAAATGAATTTTGAGTTCAGATTTTTTGTATTATAAGTTAAGTTAGGATTAAATTCATATTAAAAAATTTTAAATTAATTTTGAATAATACAAATTACAAATGGAAAATGCTACACCCACAAGCTTTCCTTACAAACTTTTTCTCACAAACTTAACGTAACAGTTTACATTGATGAACTCATAATAGGTCCCACATGGGTTTCACTTGATAAATTGTGGCTGATCAATTACAAACTGTCACGTCGGGGTTGTAAGAGAACGTTTATGAAAAAATATTGTGAGTATAGCATTACTCATTACAAATTGGGTTAACCACAACAATTTTATTTTTTATTAATGCCTTTAATAAATTGCAATAATAACTTGCTTATAATACCCAACAAAACAACAATTTTATATCATAAGACTTTACAATTAGAACTCGGTTAAACCCGTATAATATTTAAGAAATAAGAAATAATAATTTTTGATCATGTAAGTTTTTATGAATGAAACTCAAACACAAAACTTTATAAGAGTAAACTATTGGTTTAATCGTTTGGATAACTTCTCGTGAATAAAAACTAAAAACGGTAACATTGAAATAATAACTTATTGAATATTTTAAGTTGGTCGTTGCATTTTATGATAATATTTTTCATATTGTAATCACTAAAATAAATAAAATAATTATAAAAAACACAATGATGTTAAAAAAAACATCAAAATTAATAGAAGAAATATTATAATCGTTTAATGTCACAAACTTTCAAAACAAAAAGTAAAGACACCAAACAACAACAATAATGACAACGCGTCTTTGAAAGCGTAAGCAAACAATTAATAATAGCGGATATTTACTCAATACCCCCAATCTCTCTCCTTTTAACCCCTTAAGCTTTATAGAATAACAAGAAAACCCCTATAGTATTGTCCCATTTAACAAATCACCAATGTTTATTACAAAGTGTTGTACACTCTTATAACAAGTTTTTATACAAAACTTTAAAATGATTTTCGACTATACAACTATTTGAAGAGTAAAGAGTTGGACGTATTGAACCCCTTCCTCGAGTAATTATATAAACCTTTAAGATCAAGTGTTTCATAAAGTGTTATAGACTCTTATCATACATTCGATAATTTTAAGGGAATTTTTGATAGTCGAACGATCCTTCAAGGGTTTCTTTCAAATTTTCTAAAATATCAGGTCCAAAAGAAATTAAACTATTGATTAAGAGGCATGCCTAGATAAACCCCTAGCAAATAAATAAATAATCCCCACCATTATCATGATCGTTCAACGACTCCGTCCCTCTTCCTCTGCAAATACCAAATACGCGTAAACCCAAAGACTCGGACACTCGGTGCTTCTATATTAAGCTTCCCAATTTACTCTCCAACATTTTCTCAGTGCCATCCATTCTCACTCATTCAAATTCCTTTTCTAATTTTGCTCCTTTCTTCTCTACTTCTTCTTTCACATCCCCAAATGTCATCTTTTCTCTTAAGACTCTTCCTTCTTCACAATCTTTTCAACTCTTTTCTCCTCTTGTTAATCCCCAAAAAGCTCCGATCTTTCCTCCCCACTTCCTGGTGCCCTACGCTGCCACAGCCAACGCCACCCTCTGCCATTGTTTCCCCTCAAAAACCTCCACAAACTTTCATTTCCTTGAAAAAAATGGACCCAGCTGGGGTTGATCGCGTTTTTCAGATGTTTGATCGCAATGGGGACGGGAGGATTTCGAAGCAAGAGCTGAGTGTCTCGTTGGAGAATATCGGAATCTTCATCCCCGACGCCGAGTTGGCTCAGATGATTGAACGGATCGACGTGAACGGAGATGGGTGCGTCGACATCGACGAGTTCGGGGCGCTGTACAAGTCTTTGATGGTCGAGAGAGAGGAGGAGGATGAAAACGACATGCGAGAGGCGTTCAATGTGTTTGATCAAAATGGTGATGGGTTCATCACGTTCGATGAGTTGAAGCAGGTGTTGGGGTCGTTGGGGCTTAAGCAAGGGCGCACCGCAGAGGATTGCAAGCAGATGATCATGAAGGTTGACGTGGACGGTGATGGGATGGTTGATTATAAGGAGTTTAGGCAGATGATGAAGGGTGGAGGATTTAGTGCTTTGGGTTGATTTTTTATTTTGTTTTAATTTCTTTGTTTCTTTGGAATGAGTTAGTGGAGTTCTTTGTGTTGAGTCAATCAGAGGGTGTACATATTTTGGTGGAATTTTGTGATTGGGGATCGACGATCAACAAGAAGACACGTGGATGATGCATGTCATATATATATTTTTTTATTTTCGGTCGAGATATTTTGACTTAAATTTTTCTGGCTTACAATTTTGATATCAATTAATAATCATTCATTATTATTGAATGGTATCAAAATTTTTAAGCTAAAAATTTAAAACATATACTGTGACATGATTTTATTAAAATAGATGTATTAACGATGTGATACGTTGGTTTTGAAAACCTGAAATCTGATTTCGAGTAATGCAAATTCGGACTCGGGTTGGCTTACAACAACGGCAAATCCATAGAGGTGGCCAAATCTACAAAATGGCGGTTTAGGAACGAAGAGAAGAGAATTGAAACAATTTAACACCAAGATCTGGAGCTATTATTTACTTGTGGGTTTATTATTTTTTCCAAAACTTTGTAAAACTGGTCTGATGGTTTTTGACTCTAGTGTTTGTGCTTCTGTTTTCCCATTGGCTTCATTTCTTAATGCTGTATCGTGTAACCGGTGTAAATTTTATGTATTCGTATAAAATTTTAGGAAAAGTTTCTCTTTGTTTTTTTTCAGTTTTCACATTTCGGGTAATATCTCAAATTTATAAATTGTGTATACTTCTATCTGAAGAGAGTATATTAAACTATGTGTTTGCTGGGATTGTAACACCGTCGCATTTCACGTCGAATCGATTGGATCTAGCTCTTTACCGTTGCACATCCCATAGACAATATTAGCAGCCCCATTTGTTTCATTCCCGACGTATTTGACTCTCATTTTTATTAATGTATTTTCATCTTTTCGTCGTGATACTTGTTTGTTATTTCTGGTATTCGCATACAAAAATTAGTACTAAAACCATACACTAATTTCAGTGAAGCAACATAACAATTAACAAACGTATTTCTGTGAAACAAGAAAAGAAAACATAGCAGCCATTGGATCAACCGGTAAGCTTACCCAAAACTGTAGTGCCTTAAACTAAAAACTTAAAGATGTTATGAAACAAAAATTTTGATACAGTACACTATAATATTACGACTTTTTTTTTAAATTCTTGTAACATAAGATATCACAGTTGTATGACCCATAAAATATATCTGGTTAGTTTTTGTTTTGTTACACCATGAACTAATCAAGTGTTGAAATAATGAGGACTCTAAGTGTAATGTACTAATCCTTATTAGGTAACTATAGTACTGATTCGGTAACAATAATATTATATTTACAAAGAAAATTTACAAAGATTTTCACACAAAGTGAGGTGGCAAAAAATAAATAGAAAAGTGAGGTGGCAAAAAATAAATGGAAGAGTGAAACAAAAAGTCAAACTCATTAAATTCACTATTCCATTCATTTTTTGCCACATCACTTTGTATGGAGATCTTTGTAAAATTTCTTTGTAAATGTAGTATTACTCGTTCGGTAAACCCAAGGACTCACACTAGCCCAATAAAAAACTTAACCAAGTAACATTACCGTCATTGTTTGACCATTAGAATATTAGATTGACATACAAAAACTGAGTATTGGATTAATCCTTATTAGGTAATAAAAACCCTTGAAATTGTTGGTCAATTCCTGCATTCTGATCATTGTTTAATCATCGTCCCAAAATGTGATCTCATTGATTGAATAGATTGCAATATAATTAGAAAAATCCTTAAGAAAGAAGTCTTACAGAAAAGAAATATGCATTAGAAAAAGGGAGACTGACATTACACGCCCTAAAACTTGAAAATCTGACACTTTACATCCTACAACTAAGAACACCCCTTGCCATTAGTTTTTTGATGGAGCCAAGGGCATAATTGACATTTCAAGTTAAAATTGCGTTTTAAATACAAGGATACATAAAACTCCAAATATAAAACTAAATTAGTGCACCTTGTAAATATTTAAAAACACAAAATATTATAATATTTAGCCATAAAATAGGAACAACAATGCTACAGACATCGGAAATTGGTACCGAAATTTTGCACTGATATACGTGGCACTTGACTCGGATGTCGCTAGGCCTGCAATCGAACCGAACATGAACGAACAGGCCCGTTCGAAAATCGTTCGATAAGCATGTTCGATTGTTCGTGTTCGTGTTCGTGTTCGAACGAACACATGATGTGTGTTCGTGTTCGTTCGATTAACAAAAAGCTCGTTCGTGTTCGTTCGATTAACAAAAAGCTCGTTCGTATTCGTTCGTAACTCGTTCGTGTTCGTTCGACTAACTTGTTCGACTAACTCGTTCGACTAACTTGTTCGTTCGACTAACTCGTTTGATAATTTGTAAATACCTGTTCGACTAACTCGTTCGATAATTCATTCGATAATTTGTAAATACCTGTTCGACTAACTTGTTCGATAATTTGTAAATACCTGTTCGAATAACTCGTTCAATAACTTGTAAATACATGTTCGAATAACTTGTTCGAATAAAAAATGTACACTAACTTTCCAATTCATGCTCTAAAAAACAAATATGCAACAATTTATAATTCATACCCATTTAATTCAATATTTGAAAATAAACCAACTCTTTATCTATATTTATATTTTAAACAAATCAATAAAAACTCACTAAATTAAAATAACTAATCATCATAAATAATAAAACTTCAAAACAAATTAAACAGAACAATAAATCGTTCAAAACAAATTTAGTTCCATATCAAACATGACACAAACAAAAGGAATTTGTTTACATATATATATTTATTATCATTACATAAATTATCCTAAATATTTTAAATATTTACATATATATTTTGTATCAACACTCATAAATTTATAGTGGAATAAAAGTCTATTGTAATATATGATCAATACTATGTTGATTAATTTGTTTATATTATATTCTATTTTGTATCAACGCCCATAAATTCATAGTGAAATGATGGCCTATTATAATATATGATCAAACATATGTGTAATTAATTTGTATATATAATTGTTAATTTGTGTATATACAAAATTTTATCAACATTATTAATCATAGGTTAAATATGTTATGAAATTACCAAAATTAAGGTTATCATATTTTATTATCATTACATGAATTATCATAAATATTTTAAATTGTTTACATATATATTTTATATCAACACCCATAAATTTATAGTGGAATGTAAATCTATTGTAATATATGATCAATATATAGTGTGATTAATTATATATATATATATATATATATTATCTTTACTGTCTACGTATTTATTCTGTACCAACCCCTATAAATTCATAGTGATATGAGAGTTTATTGTAATAATGATCAATACAATGTGTGATTAATTTAGGTTTAATTAAACTATATTATTTAAATTTGGTATGCTATACATCACTTGATTATACAATATGTTATGTTTATCAATTTACCATACTATATTTATTATTTATTAATTGAAATGCTATCTTATAATATTTAATTATTGATTACATTTAGAAAAATATGAAGCTATTATGTTATTGGATTTACTATATTATATATCACTTGATTATACAATTTATTATGTTATTAAATTTGTCATGCTATGTATCATAATAATTTATTACTTTTTAATTAAAATTCTATATACTTATATATTTAATTATTGATGACATTTGGAAAAAAAAATTCAAACATATTATATATATAAGAAAAAAAAAAGCATCATAATATTTTATTATTGATTACCATTAAAAAAAATTCATCTAAACTAAATCAAACATAATATAAAAATGAAATTTTTTTTTTTTAATTATAATAATGCATAACATATTTTTCGAACATAAACGAACGAACAATCGAACGGATGGATTAGTCGAATGTATAGTGTTCGCGAACATAATCGAACGAACAACCCCTGTTCGAACTCGATCGAACATATTATCGAACAACTATCGAACTGTTCGCGAACAAATGTTCGCGAACATTATCGAACAGTAATCGAACGAACAACGAACGTTCGCGAACTGTTCGGTTCGTTTGCAGCCCTAGATGTCGCCACGTAAGACACGATACAAGACTTCCGTGAATGGACGGCCATTCATTTAGGAATGGATGAGGGTCTAGAAAAATATTTAAAAATAAATTAAACATCAATGGACTGCCGTCCAAATACTAGGGACATACGTCCCTTTAGTATGGACGATCATCCAAATAAGAACACTAGATGGATGCCAGTCCATTTAGTGTGGATGGCCGTCCCTTGTATATGAACGACTGTTCGCATGAGATGGACTGACGTTCATACTTTGTTAAATTTATTTATTTATTTTATAAAAATCAATAGCTTGTCTAACATGCTTTACAAATAAGCGCCAAAATTTTATGTGAAATAAGGGGAAAAAAACTTTCCTTTTTATTTGTTTTTCTTCTCTTCTCGTTCGTCTACGTGTTGTGTTCTGCTTACTCTTTTACATCGGTTTCTTCCTCAACAGCCAAGCAACAACAACTGTTTATGGTTTTTTCACAGGAAAGCCACCTCTTTTTATAGAGATAATTGTTTAGCATAGAAAGGAAAATAAGGATATCAAACATTTTAAAGCTCAGAAATATTTGTCAAGGTAAAGAATTTTTGACTTATTTTATATATTTATTTAGTTTTATATGCTATTTTGGATTGAATATATGTTACAATACAAAATAATTGATAGATAATATTTGTTGATGACTGTTGTGAACTAGATTCGTGAACGCGAAAACTGGTATTAGTTATGCATGAAATTACAGAATATGGAAGAGTCTAGTTTGCCTCGTTTCAATAATGTTGAGGTAAATTGTGTTCGAAACTTTAACTTTGTCGTTAACATGATTTTAAATATGCTGTATCGTATTGTTTCTTATGAGGTGTTGTATTAGTACATTCTAATTTTGTTTATTATAAAACCATTAAATCAGGAAAATGAATGTGATGAATTAGAAGATACGGGATGTGTAGAGAAGAAGTGGAGCCTTATTTTGAAATGGTGTTTGAGTCAGTTGATAGTTTGGTGAAGTATACAGAAGGTATGAGAATAAAATGAGTTTTGAAGCAATGATACGTACGTCAAAGAAAGGAGATGATGGGGAGATGAGATACGTGACAATGGATGTTCT